GAACCACAGTTTATTATTACTTTGGCTAGGAAGGAGAACTACAGTTTATTATTAGCTTGCCTAGGATGGAGAACCATAGTTTATTAGTTTGGCTAGGAAGGAGAACCACAGTTAATTATTAGTTTGGCTAGGAAGGAGAACTACAGTTTATTATTAGCTTGCCTAGGATGGAGAACCACTAGTTTATTAGTTTGGCTAGGAAGGAGAACTACAGTTTATTATTACTTTAGCTAGGAAGGAGAACTACAGTTTATTAGTTTGGCTAGGAAGGAGAACCACAGTTTATTACTAGCTTGCCTAGGAAGGAGAACCACAGTTTATTATTACTTTGCCTAGGAAGGAAAACCACAGTTTATTATTAGTCTGGCTAGGAAGGAGAACTACAGTTTATTAGTTTGGCTAGAAAGGAGAACTACAGTTTATTATTAGCTTGCCTAAGAAGGAGAACCATAGTTTATTTTTAGCTTTGCTAGGAGGGAGAAATCAAAACTACATACCATCACTCAGCCTTTTTTTCTAGATGCTTCTTACCATCAATAATAAAATATAGACTTTTTTCTCAACTTCTTTGATAATGTGTATCTGTAATTTATTTTGTTTTTGAGCTTTCACCAAAACTTTAATCTTACCTTGACATTTCCACCATAGTCTATCTGTCGAATAGCCAGGTTAATTACTTGATCCCACAGTAGCAGTACTTTTGGCTCATTTTGTTCACTACGTCAAGAAAAATGGGTGAAGTTTAAATTATGAAATCCAACATAAAACAATTTCAAAGACATCTTTCCTCAAATGTATTCTTATATACATAACTTAGTGTTTTAGCTTCTTTCCCCCTTTTTAATCAGGGATACTTTAGGTGGCAATTTTAAATGTAACTGGAACATAAATAGATATCTAATGTGTTCAATAAAATAATGATGTCAATCTCTAAGTATCATGTAGTAGTACCCATTCATTGTCTCACCTAGGCTTGGCCTGTCCACACCAGTCCACCAACTGTTCCAACATACGCTGTTCTTCCTGGATACTCTGGCAATGAGGAAGCCTCTGAAGTTGGTAGGCAAACAGTGTTAAGTGGGCATTTTCTGCCACACATGTAGACAGAAAATCCCTTAAGGTCAACTGAGGGACATGAAGAAATGACACTATCTGGGACCAGCCACCATCTGGAGGTAGCATTTCTGGGGCTATAACAATAATATAATTATTATTTCAAGCTGCATAAAATAAATGTCTGGGAGTTAATAATTATTTTGAATTCAGTAAGTGCTTTTTGGCTAAATATTTCAAACAATTTAACAAATTGTTGTTGATTTTATAGTTTACCTAGTAGTTTTAGGTTTGGTACATGTTCATATTAATTTCACTTTATATACCCCCCCCATTCACCCCAAAAAACGATAATGGTTGAAAAATGATACTGGAATAGATCCCACCAGAAAAAAAACAAAAACAAAATACTTTGTATCTGAAGACTAACACAATAAAAATTTCATCTTTTTTTTTACAACTAGAATTGAATGCAAGCCAGTTGAAGTTAATTTCTTCACACCATCAGATTAAATATTATTTTTGTTTTTCATAAAAGATACCAAGTACATTCAACACCCAAAATTAAAGAATTACATGAAGTATTGTAATAATATAAGTTCAACAGTAATATGCCCTTAATGTGCATCAAACACCAAACTTTAACACAATCGGTGTAGTTTAATGCTAAGACTAGATTTATCATTTCTACAGTGATTTGTTTAAAACTTCTATACTCTAGAAGCTTTTTCAGAATTTTCTGAGTCTTATTGTTTAACAGAATTATTCTTGATCACCTTCATAGGTCTAAAGTCAAGTAATTTATGAATTTCCTAACCCTTAACAACTTCATGTTTCAGAATATCTTCTTAAAAAGGCTATATACGTATTAATTTGTATGAATATTCAAATATTTTAAAAATAAGCTTACATTATAATGCTGTCAAGTCAAATCTAAGAATATTAACTTACAGCTGAAAAAGAATGAGGTTATACAGGTTTCAATAACTGACACAAGGTGTGAAACTGAGGCCAGGCGACACGCTGAATGAAGAAGTGGTAAAATTAGAACACTTTTGGAGTTATTCTTAATCCATGATAGCAAACTGTTCAGAGCTAACTCCTGCACAAGAGGTAAAGGACAGTTGTTGAGGATACCAAGACATTCCGTGATCATTTCGACAGCTTCAGAGAACAGGTTCGATGGGACAGAGCCTATAAATTAAATTGGAGTATACACTTATGTACATCAAAAGTTTCATATAAGATCTTTGAGGAAGGGGAAATTTACAATAAAAAGAAAAATACTAATCATTAAAACAACTGACAAATTAAAAATAAATATTGAACAAGATACATATATATTTAGGGAAAGCCTTCAGACACAAATAAATATTAAGTTACAAAAGTAATATGCAATGCTATATGTTCTTAAAGTTTAGTTAAATTTATTTATTTATGTGGTGATACTTATCACAAAGAAGTACAAATATAAGATTATCATTAATATATATAGTTTCATCCAATCATTAGTAAAGTCCAGGCAGATGAAATATATTTATATATTTAACTATGTTGACACAATACTAGCTAAGAAAACTTCTGACATCTAAACAGTTTACCTGTTGATGCTATGGACTCAGTTTCTGTGAATAATCCAGATACAAAGTTACAGAAAATATCAGGGTTTTTCTGTAGTAGCTTGGAATTCTTTGAGGCGTACTTGTTGACAAGGTCCACACAATTTCTGATGTAGAGAACTCTCTTGCTGACAAGCTCTCTGGTTTCCTCATTATGTTTGATTTTTGCAACACCACAAATGATTTTCACTAAACTAATAGATGAAATATACAAATATTTCACGATCAAACCTAAAAATAACAAAACAACAGAAGCTTTGGGAACATAAAAAAAAAGTTCAAATTGTCTACAAACTGTGTTTTTATACTAAAATTTTTGTACACAACTTTTAAGAAATACCTGAAGCTGATTGCCTAGGTAATAAAAACACAAAGTAATACGAACAGTAATTGCTAAATATAAGAGAAACGTATAAGAATAAACAAATGAATGTATCATCTATCCTTTCATAATTTTACTAATTCTATAAATTTTATTCTATCATAGTTAGATTTCACTGTACTGGACTTGATTCAACTACTTGTCTTGAAATTAGGCCAAACATCATTGGTTTTGCACAATCTTATATTCATGATTCTCAGTATCGTATGTAAGTATACCAATTGTATTTAAATAATTTTGTACTCAGATAGGTAATATTTCTACATCTTTCAATAAATTACTGAAACTATCAGAAAACTCAACTTTCATACTAAAAGTATTTCTAATGCAACAGCATAAGACTTGATGAAGAAACTTTTGTATACAAGCTTTATATTTCACCTGTGGTAGAATATTTTAGATTGTGTTGTAGATAAACTTTGGTATCCCAACCAGTTTGTCACCCAATACAAAAGAAACTACAGTTGCTGTTCGGTGTGAGCTAATCTCTCATTATAGGTAGGTCAAAGTGCAAAGTTATATTCAAAATTTAATTAAGCTACTTTGTTTTCACTGTATACAAATAAACTTAGCACCAAAACATAGTTAATGAATCAAATTTTAATAATACATAAGTATGAGAATTATGACAATTTGTTCTGGAATTCTTACCTCTTCTCTAATTTATTTACTACCCCTCTGAGAAGTATGAAACTTAATGTAAGTTACTCATTATAACAGAGATATTAATAAAGCAAAGCATATAATTTTTATAGCCTTCAATCTTATTTATTTACAATCATAAACTAGAAAATCAGACCCACTTGCCACACCCACCTGTCACATCCTCTCTTTTACAAATTGCCAATAGTTCTCTCTAACACTTTATACTACATTGCTTGTGACCAACAGAAAGTCAAGGTTTTAATCTACCACATGACATATTACATTACATTTCCAGTACATAGAACTGTCTATTTCATCTTCAATTTGAAATTTCCTGTCACAGTCTTAAGGTAAGATTTAAAGGCATTTATGTTAAAGTTAGAAAGTCAGAAAAATCATGATAGTTATAGGACATTGTTTGCTTTGTGCATGTTAATATTCTCTTGTTAATATCAAGATTATTTAGTGTGGTAGTACCATTAGTATAAAATTAGGCTTAAATTTCATCTGCATCCAACAGCAAAGAAAAAAAAAGATCACAGGTACGTGATATATTTCTTACTTTTCGTGTATATTTTTTACTATTCTAAAAGTAACTAAAATGTAAAAATTAAAAACTTATTAAGTAGGATGATGAAAAAAATTTAAATACAATGTAAATATACACACAGAAACAAATATCATGCCATAGGCCTAAAATCACAAATGCGGAAAGATTTAACATCTTAACTCAGAACAACACTTAATGAAGTCTTCAAATAAAAAAGTGCTTATCAAAAGACTGAAACCATATCTTAGTTAATTCAGCAATTAATTTAATAGTTAAATTTAAATAAATGTAGTAGATTTACTTGAAATTGCCTTAAACAAATCTTCTGACCTGAGGGCTAAGAACTGAATTTCTGATGGTTGTTCCTTTTCCACTGACATCATTATTGTTCTTGGATCCATGTATTTAAATGCCCTCTCAATGATTCCACAAACAGCTTGGGAATCAAGAATATGCCAAGGATAACTTTCAGCCTGTACTAACAAGAGCTTCATGGCATGAACCTGTAAAAGATAAATAATTATTACAGCATACAATACTTCAGGATAGCTCCTCTTTCTACAACACACCTAGATGCAAGTTAACAAAGATAGTACACTACCTGGGCAGTGATACAGCATTACATTCCTGCAAAATATGTGTAATGTATAAGATGAATGATGATACTTTGTATTACTAGCACGACCACAGAGACCAAAAAATACTGTACCCACATTTAAGTAACAATATTTATTTATTCAGCTAAAAATATTTGTCAGCAATTTTTATATTGAAAAAACTGATTAAATGCTTTATAGTCTGAACAAGAATTGAGGTACAGTTCCATATTTATCAAGAAAACAAGTTAAAGAGTGTTTGTTTGTTGTTAAACACAAAGCTACACAACAGGCTATCTGTGCTCTGGCCACTAAAGTTATCAAGACCTGACTTTTAATGTTATAAGCCTTCAGACATATCACTGAGCCACTGTAAGGTGTCAAAGAGTGAAATTAAGCTCTAAGTATTTTGTGTCTTCAGATAACACCAGTACAAGTAGATGAGCAATTAAACTTGGCAATACAACATAGTAGGCCTTACATTTATGTCCTCTCTCACTAATAGTTTGGAGACAGCATGAACAAGTAATGAAGAAAACTTTATTACAAGTTTAACATAGTAAAAGATAAACAATGTTCATCACTTGTTCAACCTCTCTACAACTATATTAGTCTGAAAGTGGGTTCCTTTTTGTCAAGTTTGAATTCATCCTCTTTCACTTTTTGTACAATGAAGCATAAGAATTTACAAGTTAGTAAACTGATATAAAATTGGTAACTTGTTCTACTAGCCAATATGTGTTCATTCTTGTAGGCCTACAAACAAAATAATTCTGAATGTTGAAATATTTCAATTTGCTAAGCTTCGTTTAGCAACTTACATTTTAAAAATGATTCCTTTCATATTATTTATGTAAATCTAAATTAGCCAAGGATAAACCTTATAAAGCATTTCTCTCTCTCTCTTTTCAACTATAACTTATAATACAGCAACTCTCTCTCCAGAGAATAACTTTAATGAATGGCACCATTAGTTTTCCTTCCTCTAGAATTGATTTATAAGCACTTTTATGCAAAGTTAATTTTTCTTCTTACCTATTTTGTGACTATAACTTTTCTTTTTTAAGGTTATCGGCCAAACAATCATTCTAGCATTATCAGGTAAATAAGCAACAGAACTTCACAAAATATTTTCTAAGTGAAGTATCTGTTCAAAATTATGAAATAATATCATTTCTAAAACTACTTAAATTCCTTTACTGCCAATTTCAATTTATTCTTATTCAACGAATAAGTGACTTTGATACACATCTTAGATTATAACTAACTCAGTATTAGTTATACTATAAAGATCATTGTTAGTGAACAATGTCACTAACAAACATATTATAAAATGTACAGATTTTAATAATATTGCTAACATGAAAAAAATATAGCACTACTGCAGTGCAACCACAAAACAGCAAATGTACCATTAAGTCTACTGTAAGTGTATGCTAATACACATAACGATCCCAAATTTATTATATTAAGACTTTTACACAAATCAAATTAAGACACCTTGTTTTTTTTTATCTCAAAACAATGAAAACAACTACAATTTTTAGCAACCTACATCAAAAATGTGGGGCTCCCAGAAAAGTCTGAAAACAAGATGTGCAAATTCATTCAGGACTACAGTCATAATTTCCTGTGACTCAGTGTTAATCAAATGCTGAACCACATTTGACCATGAGACTTGTAGAAAAATACCTCTCAGAAAGGGCACACATTCAGTTACTTCATCTTGTACAATCTAAAGAAAAAAAACAATGGACAGACAAATTTGAGAATTATTCCACTTTTTTGGAAGTTTAAAATAACTGATCTTTTACTAACACATGGAACTATGTTTCCATTCCTTTCCCAATTCTACTACTCCCATTAATAGTACAAAAAATGCACATACTGCATAGTCCTACAGTTGAGAATACTCATCACACAGTGTAAATACTGATAAAATACATGTTATTTTGTAAATTATTTCTTATACCAAAGTTTAAAAGTTGTGTTGTTTTGTAATATATTTGTAAATTCTTGTTTGTAATTAAATGTTAAAAATTTGGCCAAAAAAGGTATTTTTGCTATACTAGTCTAATTACAATAATAACTAAAATAATAGGCTTAGAACATTCATTTTAAAGAAAGCGACAGAATATTTAAGAAGTAAGGATAGTCAGGAATCATTTAACATAATCTAATAATACCTGTAGGTAAAACAATATAAAAACCTGATATATACAATAATTAAATTCAACTTGTATGGGAATTGTTACATGACTCAATACCAACACTTAATCATCCAAATGTCTGGAAACAGCTATATAAGTGCTATAAACAAACAATTTTGAGAGAATTTATAGATTGATTCACTGCTTTTAAAATACGCATATACACACACACACATGTACACGTATAAAAATTACAGTTTATACAATAGAAAATACTTTGTACTATATTTCCCTATAGTTTTATATTAGTCAATTACTCTATCTTTTAAAACACAAGGAATCTTAAATATAATGTACTGCAATTTAAAATATTACATGATATATAATGCTAATAAGCTGTCTCTGTCTTTAACATACATAATAAAATTATATAATATATCTGAGGATGACGTTGTAACGTCGAAACATGTAGAGTCGTCAACTTTTTTGAAGGCCATAGATAGGCCTAAATAAAATGTTTTTAATTGTGTACCAGTTTAATGTTGAAAATTATTTATGATTTTATATCTATGGGGTTTTGAATCCATTTTATTTAATTTACCATATAGTAATCTAAATTCATATAGGTATGAAAGAAAATCTTTAACATATGTATCAAAAATTAAATATGCTTCACTTGAGTGTGCTATTATGTAAATTCTTAGTTTAAATTATGATCAACAATAGTTGTAGTAGTAACACTGGAATGTGGTTAAAACAGAGAAATTAGAAGAAAAGACATCTTATATATATATATATATATACTATGTTAAAGCTTCAAGTGATGACTTTTGCTTTCATATTTAGAAATATAAACTTGGGTATTATTATTATAAAACAGTTACAAATGAGTTTTATTTTTTACAGAATCATTTTGAGTGTTTTAATGATAAAAAATGTTGGTGTGTCAACTAAAAGTATAAAAGACTGAGTTATGAAAATTATTACAAAACCCACAATGTTAATATAAATTCCTTTTTCCCTATTGTATGTAAAAGAGATATAAATAAATTTAAGAGTTTGAGATTCCAGTAACTGTTTTTTAAATTTAATTACTTTTAATTAAAATTAATATTCAAATAATGAGTTAATGTGGTACTAATTGAACATTTGTACACACGTTTTATCAACAGCATGTGGCACTGGATGAGAACAAAAAGAAAATGAATTTTTAACTAAAAAAAGAGGTTAATGAAATATGTACTAATAAAATAAATCTTTAGAGAAACAATAAAATATGTACAAAATTCTCTTTCACCTTAACAACTCTGGTAAGTTGGTATGTTTGTCTATTAATGTTACAGTTTTCCTTTATCGCAAATGTGAAAAAAGGGATATTAATGAAGCTCAAATTCAGCTCCAACATTCCCTTGAAATGATCAAAAATAAAATTAGGCCCACTATGATTATTTTTCTTACTTAAAAGTTTAGTTAGCAAGATGCTTAAAATTTTTCGCATATCTTTTTCATAAGTCTGATAATAAAAAAATATGTCAATGTTCTCAGGTTTTTCATTAAATTAAGTTGTTTTTATGTTGTTAAGCACAAAGCTACACCATGGGGCTATCTGTACTGTGCTTACCACAAGTATTGAAGCCCAGTTTTAGTGGAGTGAGCTCTCAGATTTACTGCTGGGGGCAAATTAAATGTCAAGAATTGCTTAACTAATATTTTATTAATATTAACTTCTGAGCAGAACAAGCTATGTATTTAGAGTGAAACTACAAATAAACCTGGCAATCAGTATAACTAATTATATACACCATTCTTATAAATCTACTTATGAAAATTAGAATGTATAGTTTTGTCAGTTGGCTAACCTTGCTGTTACTAATATTTTCTGCTCTAATACCAATAATATATTCAAGGTTCAGCCAGCTTAGGAGAGTTAGGTTAGCCCTAAATACATATACTAAGCTAACAATGCAAAACAATATTTATAATACAAGTAAACTAATAAAAAACTAATATAATTAAAAAGTAATGTAATTCGATATACTAAATAGTATGACCAATACTGTTAATGAAAGTAACAATATGTAAATAATATAGTGTGTCTTATAAGGGAACACAAAAACACTAATTTTATTCTAATTCTCACCTTGCTCATCAGTTCAACATCTTTTGGTGTGGGAAAAAACTCTGACCATGTTAACTCACTCAAAGCCATGTGACACACATTAAGAATGGTTTCTTTTAAGGTCTTGTGAGCAAATGTGGTTATGTAGTACTCCCAAACATAGGAATGAACCTTATAGATGTTTGCTCCTGGTTTAAAATCACCATATACTGGATTAAACTACAATCACATCTTTTGATGCATATACAAAACTAATTAATCACTGAGATCATTTCTTAAGATTAGTATTTAATTAAAAATAACTTCTACGTCAGTTGAAGACAACAACAAAGACACAAAACTGAAAAATAAAAATAATTACTACCTTAAGTAAAAAGCTGCCTTATATTGTAAATATACTAGCTATCCTTGAAATACTTTGACCAATTACATTCATATACTATTTATATTATTTGATTATGACCATCATTTCACCAAAGATATCTGTGTTTGAGTTTTACATATATAAAACTATAAACCAATACATATACATCCACATACAAACATTAATAATGCTATATATATATTTTTTTTTTGCAAACTTATTAATTTCATTATAAACAAAATAGGAATCATTACTACTAAAGAAGCCTTAAAGTTTAGCCTACATGTTATAAATTTAGGTTTAGCATGAAAAAGTTATTAATAAACAGTAATACAATTATCAGCCTAAAAAAAACCATAATGTAAAACTCAAAGTCAAACTTTCTATAAGTAAAGTTTAAGTAACTTATTTAATATCAGGTTGAATAAATTGGTCATATACAGCCCTATTGTAAAGTGGTTATTTTATAGATATATTTAATTTGCCAAATTACCAAAAAAAGTGTAGATATACAAATTTTGAAAATCTTATTTATTACCTGCCACTGAACATATTACGGTAATATTTAAAGGAGGATTTATTTATACTATAGTCGTATTGAAACAAGAACTTTATATGCTTTACAGGTACGTATTGGAATTCTCTCTTTTTCTGTTAACTAAATTCTTAAATTACAATAAATGTTGCTTTCTAAACATTAAACAAAGGTTATGAATAAAAAAATATCGAATTTTACCTCCATGCATTATAAAGTAATTTCTACTTTTGATGCAACTATTTCAAATTCTAAAATAATATCCCAAAGTGTGTTTTACTCATAAGTAGTTTAAGTTTTCCTGAACAATGCTCATTGATAATGGTTTTTTATATTGCGATCATTAATAGAGCTAACAATGCATTCTTAAGAGAAAAGTTTTTTCAATATCAAATACTGTTAACATTCAATCACAACTTCAGTAGTAAGCGAGTCTGTTTATCAATAGACTCTCTTCTACCTTCAAGTCCTGTTTGTTAATCAACAGATCAAACCTGATCAACAGACTCTCTTCCACCCTCAAGCCATGTTTATTAATCAATAGATCATACCTGATTTTACAGACTCTATTTTACCCTAAAGTCTTGTTTACTAATCAATAGATCAAACCTGAGCTAAATGACCAGAGTACTGCTGCTCTCTTACTACTGAAGTTATGATTTACAGTGTTTCTTTCGTTTGTCAATCAATTAGGTATTTATCAGTTTTGTTACTACACTCAAGTAAGCACATCTTTTTCATGCTATATTAACTCTAAGCTTGAATAACACATTAAAATTAATTTTTAAATACCTTTATATTAAAACTGTATGGTTCCACCATTTAAAACAAACTATAAGGATAAAGTAGTTAATTACTGGTAGGTGTTTACTAAATGGTTATCATACAAGATGTTTATTGGATGCTGGCCAATGTCATAGAAACCTAACGATGGTTATATTAGATGTAGAAGTGAATGAGTAAAATATTATATCATAATATATGTTTCTACTGCAGTTGGACAGTCAAATCAAAAACTTTTAAAACACACCTTTTGCCCATTCATGAAGACAGCTCAGAGAAGATACAAACGTTTGAAACACTAGGCTAGCTGATTCCGTATCCCCAGGTAACCATGGTAACCAGAACTTTCCATCCACCATGAAAGGATGGATCCATGGCTGAAAAACATGATATAGTTCTTTCCACGTATCTTGCACAACTTCTAGGAAAAATAAAGTTGTACTCAGTATTAAGCTAGCGGTTCAGTCATCATTATACACCTTCATGTTTTTTGTTAAAGAATTATAATGCGTTGGATTATAAAAACAAAACATTCACGATTCATAAAACCTATTTTAAGTCTTTCACAAAGTTGATTTGTTACAAACATTAAATATTCCTATTATTATGTATTGACAGAAAATTGACTCTTTATAGCAAAGGTACAAAACTGTATTTTGCATAAAAAAGATTCTCCTTTTTATCAGGGATATTGTAGGTTAAGAAAAAAGCTTACAAGCTTTCATGAAACAAAACTTCAATTTAATTTACAATATCAACAAAGTGTAAAGTATACTTAACCTTAAAGAAGAAAATTAATGTAACCATATATGCACTAAATTACTAAAAATTATGGCAAACAAGAAAATTCCACCCTAAAGAAGTACACAAGGTTGTTCATGATTTATTGTAAGAACTGTGTATCCAATCACCTTCACTGTGGCTTTCCCTGTAACCACAAGAGTTAAAGAACTGACCTTCTAGTTGTAACTCAGTTGAAGTGTAGTGATTTGTATGGGTAGATAGTGACTAAAATGGACCCTTTCTGGGAGGGTTACATTACCAGATTTTCTGACATGAAGTTCTGTTCCACCAATATAAAAAAAACAAAATGGGTTAGAATTTTAGCATTCTAAAGAAAATAACATCTATAGTGTTGAACTATGTAATTAAAAAAATAGAAGGCAAGATTGCAGCTGGGAAATAAGAGGTAGTGAAGAAAAGTTAACATTGGAGGTAACACAGTGACACACTGCAGTTAAAGAAAGAACTTCTATTGGAACTGTAGACACACAGCCAGGTTCATAAGCTTCTCCCCAGGCACCAGTTTCATAAGCTTCTCCCAGGCACCAGGTTCATAAGCTTCTCCCGAGGCACCAGGTTCATAAGCTTCTCCCGAGGCACCAGGTTCATAACTTCTCCCGAGGCACCAGGTTCATAAACTTCTCCTGAGGCACCAGTTTCATAAGCTTCTCCCGAGGCACCAGTTTCATAAGCTTCTCCCAAGGCACCAGTTTCATAAGCTTCTCCAGAGGCACCAGGTTCATAAGCTTCTCCTGAGGCACCAGGTTCATAAACTTCTCCA